CCATTCTTTTCTGTATCGTTACCATTTATTGGTGAAAAGCACTCTACAGCACCTGCAAAATTGGCTTATCTTCACATATATAGCAAAAAGTACTTATGGTGTGCCAGCCAGAAAAAATCGAGGTTTGCACAGTGAGTCCAGCTGAATTGCATATCCATGTCCATCCTATGAAATACACCTGAAAAGGGAAAACAATGGCTATTTATTTTAATGATGCTGGCTCTAGGATGTCCTTACTGCTTATTAATCTCCTTTTATTCTCCTTCATACCAAGGATAAACTGCAAATATTATTGAAAGTTGTTATTGAAACTATATCACTATCAAAACTACCCAAATAATTTCCATGCACACAAAATAAAGATGAGTTGCAAGACCCACATATGTATCCAGTAAATGGAATAGGTAACTCATCAGAAATAGTTACAAAAAAGTTTAGAGTATCCAGGAAAAATGGAACACAAAACTAAGAGCAGTGCTTTGATTTTCAACTGGTCTATGCTTTACAATACTGAGATCTCTTCGGTCATCCTCTAAACTTTATCTGAGTAAATTAAACTTCAAAAATAAAAATAAATTAAAAAAATAATAAAGCCAGTATATGCGGCCTTTCTTATGCAATTAAGAAAGTCAAGTGAGAATGACATTCAACTGGGAAATATGGAAACATATGACATGACCCAACCTACAGAGCCTAACTGGGAAACAACGAATTGGAGAAATCTGATGTGATTCTCAAGGAATGGAGTTGATTTGTGGAAGAGAAACAGAACGACTGTAGAAATAGCATATGAAGCCCTGATGAGAGAATTAAAACCTAACAGCAAAGGTTGTAGCATATCTGACCTCTGATATCACTTGATGTCTTACTTAGCCATAGGAAGTATGAGTTTTCTAAAGAGAATAATTCAGTGACTCTCTAGATATTTATAAAGGGAACCCCCTATGAAAACATCTGATCATGTGGCAGACACTCCAAAAAATTTCTATCTTCAAAAGAAATAAAATAAATGTTTGGAGGGCATGTTTTTTAAAGGCAATAATCTGGCTCTTTCAATCACAAGGAAACCTGTTAACTACATCTGGTTTAGATTGCAGTGTTGTCTTCAAAAAGTTACAACATTGGTTTAAAATTTGAGATAATGTAACTGTTGAAAGCTGGCTTGAATGAGTGAAATGTTTAGAGGAGCAAATCATGACATAAATTAAAAATTCCTTTGAAGGATTAGTCTATTTTTTTCTTGCTGCAAAAGTCGTGCACAGTTTTAGTATGTATGACTTCCTGATGTTAAAAGTTAATGATTTAACGGAAATGTGTATTTTTTTCTTTTATTGACTAGAAGATTAATTTACCTATTGGAAGCCTATCTCCAAAGAGAAGCTAGTATTAGAACCTCAGCAGAGTCAGTTTTGAAACACTTCTTAATTACCAAACCACTAAATGTTAATCTATTTAACCATTGCATCACATAAAGAACTGAAACGGAATCCCAGGTAAGAATTCACCTGGGAGTCCTGGTGGACAACAGGATGACCATGAGCCAGCAATGTGCCCTGGCGTCCAAGAAGGCAAATGGCATCTTGGGGTTCATCAAGAAGAGTGTGGCCAGCAGGTCGAGGGAGGTCATCCTCCCCCTCTACTCTGCCCTGGTGAGGCCACATCTGGAATACTGCGTCCAGTTCTGGGCTCCCCAGTTCAAGAAAGACAGGGAACTGCTGGAGAGGGTCCAGCAAAGGGCTACAAAGATGATTAGGGGATTGGAACATCTCTCATATGAGGAAAGGCTTAGGGACTTGGGTCTCTAGAGAAAAGAAGATTGAGGGGGGATCTTACTAATACTTACAAATACTTAAAGGGAGGATTCCGGGGGATGGGAGCAGTCTTTTTTCAGTGGTGCCCAGTGATAGGACGAGGGGTAATGGCCACAAGCTTGAACATAGGAACATAGGAAGTTCCATCTTAACATGAGGAGGAACTTCTTTACCTTGAGGGTAGTGGAGCACTGGAACAGGCTGCCCAGAGAGGTTGTGGAGTCTCCCACTCTGGAGACATTCAAAACCCACCTGGACGCTGTCCTGTGCAACCTGTTGTAGGTGACCCTGCTCTGGTGGAGGGGTTGGACTAGATGATCTCCAGAGGTCCCTTCCAACACTAACCATTCTGTGATTCTGTGATTCTGTGACTCTGTGATTCTGTAATTATCACTCATTTTTAATGAAAGAAACCTAATAGGAAAACCCAGGAGTTATGGACATCATATTTTTTTTTTTTTTCATTAATAGAAAGTGTTACCCACAGATGCCTCTATATGACTGGAAGACATCACAGCCACAGAAGTATAACTGCATAGTTCCCTTATAGATAAAACCCACGAACTCCTATCTGCTTGTGTGCAGTGTTACGAAGCCTTTTACCCGTGCTTGTCAGGCATCATGATTCATGAAAGACAGCAGAAAGGATGCATGTGTGCTGTGTTATTGGGGGCTGAGAACAGATTACAGTATTTAGATAGCTTTTATGTCTTGTCACATACTGGTGACACTATATATCAACGCCAGGTTTAGGACATCATAGAGGTGCTCTGCTGGACTCAGGCAGAAATTTCTAGAGATGAAAAGCTATTCCTATAAGTGCAATAATTATGAAAGTGGCAGGTAATCTGCACTTGCTCTCAATCCACCTTTTACAGAACATATAGGGGTGTTCCCAGAAGTTTTATATTTCCATTAAGAAGGCAGTGGACAGATTCTCTATAAAATACAGATTTCCTTGCTTTAGTGGTATGACACAAAAGGGACCGGTCTGGCAGCTCTGATATTTTTCCCCACTGTGTTTACATAGGTTCAGCACCTTGAGCATGCATTGTGCTGGACACACCGCAGCAGGGACACAGCCACCTGGCTGCAAGGCAACAGGGCAGCGGGCGCCAGCCCTCCCTGTGCTGCTGAAGCTGGTGGCAGGAGAGCACATAGCAGGCATATCCCAGAGCCTTTCAGGAAGGCTCCAGTGAACTTCAAATCACATCTGTTTTGAGCATCCTTTGAACATATTTTTTTTCACATTTTCATTTCATATTACTAAGATTCAGCATTTTTCAGTATCACAAAACAGACCCAGGATCTGAATGTAACCAGCACAATCCAAGGTATTGTGTATGAGTTTCTGGCTTAAGAAGGACCCTTGCTAGAAATGCCTGAAGAGGAAAGAGGCAACATGCCTTTCTGTAAGGCAAGACATGATCTCTGAGAATCACAGAATGGTTGAGGCTGGCAGGGACCCCTCAGTTTCTTCTGGTCCAAGCTCCCTGCTCAAATAGGTCCATGTAGAGCTGGTTGTCCAGAATAGGTCCATGTAGAGCTGGTTGCCCAGAACTGTGTCCAGACAGCTTTTGCATATCTCCAAGGTGTAAGACTCCACTCCAGACAACCTGTACCAGTTCCTGGTTACCTGCACAGTGCAAAAGTGTTTCCCGATGTTCAGGAGGAACCTCTGTCAGAATCCAGTACTCCTCTAACCAGGTTCTTTTAGATATTCCATCCATGGAATATGTAATGTTTAATATCAGATTTACTGATTTGAAGATACTTGATGTTACATGTGATTTCTGATTTATCAGAGTGATACAAAATATGTTATATAACTCAATACAAATGTAGGTTACACTTAGCAAAATATATGTAGCAATTGCAATAAACAGTTTAATCACCATGACAATGTGATTCCCACTACCGCTCACCATCATGACATGGGGCATCTCCAGTTGCTGAGAAAGCACCTACGGGTTGAAGCCATCTCAAGCTTGTAGCTCTCTATGAAATTCTTTCATTAACTATTCAGTTTTATACTCTATGTTGAGCCAAGCCACTTACTCACTCCCCTCATGCTGGATTAACTCAGGGAGATGATCATGCTTTTGGAATTAACTGAGAGATAAACATTTCCACCACTAACTGATCACCTGTTCGTATCTGTTAATCTAAAAGAGGCCACCCTCGGCTCCCCTTGGTGTTGAGAACAAGTCAGCGTCTTTGTGACACATGTGGTCAGTCCCAGGCTGCATTCTTCCCTGAGCCTCATGGGTACATTGCCCTGGCCTGTCTCCACTGAGTCTTCTTCCACGGTGGGACTTTCAGACTTTCAGTGGGACAACTGTCACGGTTGGTCAGTCACAGTGGCAACACACCAAAAGCGAGCAGACGAGAGAGGGACACCATTATGAACACCTCTGTGCTGTGCACACCCACTCTTCCCTCAGGAGACCTTGGTACTGTGTGGTACATGGATGCTCTGGTGTGTGGATTCAAGTGGGGATGCTGGTGTCAATTTACATGTTAAATGTTAGTAAAGTTTAATTTATTTATTGGGGCTTTTTTGCATATAAGCTAATTATAAATAGAAGCTTTGCTAGTTCCTCTCTGCACCCCAGGGAATATTCTTGCTCACTTCTGGGGTTCAACCACCCTGCGTTGGAGCCCATGGAATGAGAAAACTGAAGTGAGGCACAATCTGCATGTCCTCTACAGGAGACCATGTTACAAAGCCAGAAGTTTTCAACACCTGGCTCAGTACAAATGATGTCCTCAGCTCTGGCTTGGTATTTTTAACAGTAATGATTATGTTGGGTACGTTTTGGCAGGAAGCGTGTTTCCACCTCTGAAACTTACTCAAATTTATGTTCCCACCTTGGTTTGCTTCTATATGACTTTATGCAAACTTGGAAAGCTCTCAAATTAGACGGAAGATCTGGGATTTCTTAGAATCTGAGCTTGATTGTTAGCAGAAATCATGTAGTTGCTTGTGGATCAGTTGCTCCAGCTTTGACCGGTGAAATATAAACTCAATCTGGGATTTGGCTGTAAAAACAAGACAGGACAACTGGAAAGGGTTCCTTATTGAGCCGGTTTATTTCCAAATGTCTGATGTTCTACTGGCTGGGTACCTAGTATGTCTACTTCATCTAGTTTAATGGGTGGTGGAGTCCCAGCCTGTCGCCTGCACTGTTAAGGTTTGGGCTGGGAGGCACAGGTGGGATTTGGGTGTACAGTGGTCCCGGCATGGTTAGAGCAGAGGCTGCTGCCAGCATGGACAACCTTGGGAAACCATGGGTGCCAGAAGGGAAGCAGGGCAAGCCCAAGGGCCTGCAGAGGTGCTGTGCCTGGCTGCAGTGGTGGAAAGGCAGGAAGCCTCAACCCTGGTGTGCAAGGTGCCCAGTTGTTTACGGGAAGTAAGTGGTGGCTTGGTGAAGGAGCAGGTACAACAGCAGCAGCTTGCTGGAGGTCAGGTGGGGACTGGCTGCACTGCAGCGGTAAAAGGGAGGGGGTGCAAGGCTTAACAGCAGTGGCTGCACCCTCAGGCTGCACATCTGGGCTTCCTGTGGGGCAGTTTTCTTTCCAAGCTGGGCCTGGTGAAAATGCAGCTATTGCTCTCCTCTTGAGGCCGACTCTTTGCTTGCACCTCTGGAGCAGGTGGGGATCATCTCTCGTGAAGTTGGGGTTGTAGAATAAGAATAAATAAAACATGAAAAAGAAGAAGAGTTGGTTGCCATCCTTTGGAGACAGGAAAACACCAAGATAGGAAAACTGAGCAACAAGGCAAAAGACCAACATTGGTCCAGAAAAGGTCTATGGGGCATTTGAAACCTAAGGCTTATGCTGAACAAAACGTTACCCTCTGGTTCTGTTAAGTAATGGCCACTCTTGTGTTTTCACCTGAGAAATGACCTGAGAAAGAACTGAATCTCTGAGCATTTCCTGCCTTCTTCCTTCTCTCCTCCATTGCCAAGGGTTATATTACTGGAAGGTGAAGCTCTCATGCCAGAATCATTCTGAGAGTCAGTTCATGTGCAGAGGAAGTGATGTACCTTGCTGTGACCAAAAGCTGCTGCTGCTGCTTCTGCCAGAAATTCATCAAGCAAGTCAGATGTTTCAGTCACATTGGACTTTGGTGAATGCATAAAGGTGGAGCTGGTGAAGGAAACTTTTCATGATGTCAGTTATAAAAATGCTCTGAGGTTCACTCCTTCCTATTGCATCCTTTTTGAAGGATTCTTTGTCAATGGCAACACAGATGCTGTAATTAACACACTGAAAGGACTGCAACTGGTGGCTTTGGACAATTTTCCAGAGCTTCTTTGGAAAGGCCAGGGATGCAAAGTCATCAAGTTCACTAGAGGTCCTCTCCAAAGAAATGCAATGGACTCTGTTGGTTTTGTGATCACCACTGCATGCTTGGAAATCCTTTTCTTTCTTGATGGATGCTAAAGAAGGATCACAAGGTACTCTTTTGTCCCATCCTGGAGGGACAGGAGAAGTGGAATCTGCCAACTCAAGGAACTCACCTGGAGCAGAAGCAGATGGTAGTTCTCTTGGAGACCACTCCCTTGGAAACTCTCTTGTGAGGGTTAGACCAAAGTGGTGCCTAGCTGTAGGTATCTCCCTGGGCAGCTGGGCTTGGTCCTGCCAGACAGAAAGGGCCAATGAACTGCCACCTGATGGAAAGTTCTCAAATGTTGTTGTGATGCCTGTGCTGTATGTCAGTGATATCACAGGCTGGCACCAATGTCCCGGCTTGCTGCAGCAGCCAGAAAAGATTTTGTTGAACAGCAATTGTTGCTCATTGTTTTCAGGGCTGCAGGTGTTTTGGACTCAAGAGTCGAGCAGTACATCCAACTGTCTTGAAATGTTGTAGGCAATGCCAGGGCAGTGCTGTGTCTCATTGGCTGCAGGAGCTGGTGGCCAGGGAGGAAGAGGGAAGGCTGCAGCATTAGGCATCAAAGTGTCCCATTGTGGAGGTTATCCAGTTGGACACCTCTCCTACATGCAAAAGTGTCCTTGCCGTCTCTGCTGTAGTGGTGGCTTTGGAGCTCCTGCTTGAGACCCTCCTTGAGCAAGAGTGGTGAAGGGCAGGGTTTGGTGCAGCCAGTGCCCAGCCTGCTGGGTTTGTGGGGTGGCTCTTCCTCCGGACATTGCATGGCCACGTGATGCCGTGAATAGGTGCCTTCTGACCTCCTGCATTTCCCTCTGGGTTCTCCAACTGTGTGCAGAAATGCATTTCTGGAGCAGTGAGGGTGAAGGGAGACCAAAATCTCTGCCTATTCCTCCCCATTTCTTCTCTAGCCTTAGAAGGACTCTGTGATTTCAGTAGCACTCCTTCTGTCCTGGGCCAGACATCACCTGTGCCCAGATGATGCTCCCACATTCCAGCAGTCTCTCTATGGCTACTCTGTGGAAGCAATTGGAAGTGCATCAAGTACATTTTGCAAATGATACAAATGGGAGATATGCAACTGCCCCTGTTTCTTTGAATAGGTTCCTATGCTTTTATATGACATTTAAAATTCAGAAATCAAATGAACCAAATCAATAATTTTCTGTCAGCCTTCTAAGGTAGTACTCTTTCTCCTGGTTCGAGTATTTTTTCTGTAAAGGACAGGTTTGATGTAGAGCCAGTAGTAATCAGGACTTCTGTTCCCTTCAGCATTTGGATCAGGCCCAGGGAGGATTATGAAATCCTGGTCTGAGTATGAGTACAATAGAGAGGAGGCCAATAAGCCTTTGGGAGCCTGTGGGCAAAGCTAACTGATGGGAGTTTGGGCAGAGGAAGGACCGTCGCCTCCAAGTGTTGGAGCATCTCTGAGGGCCTGGTCCAGGCAGATGCAAGTTGCAAATCAGCTGGCCTTTGCTGTCACCCTGCAGTGCTGTTCAACTCAATAAACTGGGAGAGAAGGGCTGTGTCTGTGGGCTGAGAAAATATGGCTGGTCAAGCCAAGAGGAGACAGCGGGGGACGGGTTTGTAGCAGGTACCACAACAGCAACTGGTACAAGAACTGTATAAAAATAACAGCTACTACCAAAATCTAGTACAAGCACCTTGCCTGGTGTGTTGGCTTCACTAAAGCTCATCATGCAAACATGACGATGTAAAAGCAATGCTGAGCCACCAGGTTTTGATCTGGGAGAACACGTCTTCAACAGTACATCATTCCTGTGGTTGCTTACCTCACTAGAAAGTCGTTCTTAGTGTCTTTCCTTATCAAAGCAGAACTTAGCACTTACCATGAATGTGTTAGACATGTTTGTACTTTCAAGCAGCTGTGTAGCCAACCTCCCAGACTGCATCATTTGTTCTAGTACTTGTTCCTTTCAATTTTCAGTAGTTTTCTAGGCATCTTCCTGCATTTCTTTCACTATTAATTATGAAACCTGAAAAGAAGCTGCTACAGATTTACCCTTAAGGTTAGTGAAATGTTGTAAGTGTCACCCTCATGGTAAAAAAGTGTTTCCTGATGTTCAGAGGGAACCTTCTGTCTTTCAGTCTGCGCCCATTGCCTCTGGCCCTGGCACTGGACACCACTGAAAAGAGTTCCTCTTGGAACCCTCAGGTTCCTCTTGGAACCCTCCCTGCAGGAGGGTGTACACTGATGAGATCCCCTGAGATGAACTGAGCCAAGTCCCTCAGCCTTTCCCCATAGGAGAGGTTGTCATGTACCTTCATCGTCTTTGTGGCCCTTCACTGTACTCTTTCCAGTATGGCCATGGTTCTCTTCAACTCAGGAGCCCAGCACTGGACACGGTACTCCAGGTGTGGCCTCACCACTGCTGAGTAGAGGGGAAGAGATCTTCCTCTACCTGCTCCAATACTTTGTTTAATGCAGTCCAGGATACCATTCACCTTCTTTGCAGCAAACATTACTGGCCTGTGTTCAACTTGGCATCCACCAGGACACCCGGGGTATTTCTGCAAAGCTGCTTTCCAGCATGTACTGGTGCCTGGTGTTGTTCCTCCCCAGCTGCAGGACATTGCACTTCTTGTTGAATTTCATGAGGTTGCCATCAGCCCTTTTCTTCAGCCTTTTGTCCTGGTACTAAGCCCTAGTACTATAACATTTTTAAATTGAACTGAAATTAGAGGATTTTTGTTAAACTCAGCCTCTAGCTTGGTATAGAGAATGCAGTGTTGAGTACAACATGGCTTTGATTTTGAAAGACCAAACCCATGTTATGGCTTGTCATTGTAGGATTTTGTGTAGAATATTTGCCTCACTTTCATTAGTCATCACATTTTATTTAAGAACTATGATAACTTTTAAACAAACACCATGATACTGTTAATACATAGAAAACAAATAATTGCTTTTCTTAAGAGCTCGCTTTCTCACCTCCCAGGCCTCCACAAATCACAACAAATACATATCTGACATTAATATTTTTCTCACCTAGAGAAGTCACCAAGTTGATCTGAGAACCTTTTAAGCATTTAGAATTCATCCTCCATCTATATCTTTGCCAGGACAGTGCAAGGGCTTATTTTCAATTCTCAGTTGCGCTGGGGAAGTGTTTTGATTCTTGATTTAGACCGTGGTCTCCCAGAGGTTCCAGGGTTTCTGGCTGGAAGATAAAGCTTCATGCTTTATGTTTCCTTGAAGCAGAGCAGTAATACACACCAGACACTGTGCTCCAGTCCATAGGTTTTCGAAAGTAAGCAAGTCCAGTACTTATTTTGTGGGTCTTCTGACACTTGAGTGCTGTTCCCTGAGGGAAGGAGTCAAGCTGTATACATTTTCAGCTTCTCTTTGTTGCACAAACTATGTGGCACTCTCAGGGAATATTTGCAGTAGTGTGAGGTAATGGACTGGAGTGTCTATACAGAAATATCTGAATATTTGGCACCTGGTATTACAGGCTGCAGCATAAAGACATGCTTGTATTCAAACAAATCCCGTGTTCTCTAGCCTAACCTACCCAACACTGGGTGCAGGATTAAATAAAGCCCCTCACATTAGGAACCACTATTTGTTCTTTCCTGTGTAAAGTCAATTGCAAACGAACATGGATCTGAAATAATATTTTAACCTTAATGACCCTTTCACAGTCTGGTGTATCTTGAACTCATTGTTTCAAATAACGGGCTATAGCCTATCCCATGTGGGAGGCATGGAGCCAGCACAGACAGTTCCAAGCAGACCAACCTGCTCAGTGTTCATCTGGGAACTTTATCCAAGGACTGACCCACTTGAAATTACATGTATATTAAGCCTCACTTAATAAAATACGTAATATGGAAATATCACCACACATCCTTTGCCATTTTTGAAAATGTACGATGATGACACAGTACAAGCAAGCCTAAGAATACTAATTTAAAATTGCAAATTTACGGTTGCAAGCACAGAAGTATTAACCTTGTTCTTCTCTTTAGACCTAGAGCAGGTCTACATTTTATGTGTCTTTGCTTCCCCTCACCTCCACCACATGACTCGTAGGTTCACAAAATATGCTTTATTTCCTTCTTTTTCCCTTTGCTTTTCAGAGGCCTGCTAGGTTCTCCTTTTTTGTGTGTGTTAGTTCAGGCTATAACCCTGCGGTCTGAGTTTATCTTGGCCATAAAACGCAACAGTAATTTATATGCTCCCTTACTCGGCACTCCTCTGAGGCACTGCCAGCTGTCTAGCCAGCAGTTTAAAGAAAGAGCTGTAATGAGCACAAGTGTGCAGGGGGTAACGGGAAGGCGCACACAGCATACAGCCATGTTCCCGTTTCCTTAGCTGGTGGTGGTTACGTTTAAATGGCATTACAGTAAGCTGTCAGCATGGCGAGATTCTCTGCAC